TAGACCCAAATAAAGATCAGTCAGATGATAACATGTTAAAGATACCTAAACCTCCGGGAGGTGAAGCAAAGGATATGATTCCGCACTTTACCGATAGAATTATGGACTTAATTATACAAAACAGGAGGATTACAAAAACTGACTGGTGTATGTTTGAGTTCTCTAACGGGTACGTTAAGCTTGACTTAACAAACGTCGACTTTTCTAAGTTAAAGTGTCCTTCACATAACTACGTGAGTTGGAGACACAAAGATGTTGTCAAAACCCAAATTGAGGATTGGTTAAAACAGGGTCTAATTGAAATCAATTATGATGCAACCCCAGTTAACCTAGCTCTCTTAGCGGTCGATCAATATAAGAAAAACAAGGGTAGTACTAGATCTGTCGCCAATCAACAAACTAAATCCGCAACATAGTTTTCTCTCACCAAGATAAGCGAGATACAACGCAAAATGGAAGGTGCGACTATCTTTTCCAAGGTAGACTTAAAAACTGAATTCCATCAATTACAAATATATGAGCCGCATAGGAAATACTTTTCTTTTACTTGGCAAGGTAAGAAGTACCAGTTTAAAAGTGCACCTGAAGGCTTACACATGATACCTTCTTTCTTCCAACAAGTTATGATAGAACTATTTGTGGATCTGCCGGATAACGTATCAGTATATTTAGATGATATAGTTATCTTTACAATGACATCACATAAACATGCTTAACTTGTTAAGGAAGTCTTAAAGCGACTAAGCCATGCCAAAATTAAGATTAACGAGGACATGTGTTCTTTTGCTAAAGATACTATACACTTATCTGGTTACAAGGTATCTGCAGCAGGGGTAGAAATTGATCCTGGCAAGAAACAATTTCTGTTGGATTTATCGACACCGATTACTGGAAGAGATATGAAACTATGTGTGTGGGTTTGCTAACTTCTTCTTGGATTCGGTACCTCATCTTTCTCATTACTTAAAGACTTTCAGTCACCTACGGCTGCACAAAGGACCTTTGGGAAAGCTCTGGACTAAAGAATGTGATGATGCATTTAAGCTAGTCAAAAGTAAAGTAATGGACGCACCCATCATGCAATACACTGTGGATGACGTCCCATTCCAAGTAGCAACTGACGCTTCAGATCGAACGGTAGGTGGAGTGCTATACCAAACGATGAATGGTAAACCACGCTACATACAATTTTTTAGCAAGAGTTATAATAAAAGTCAACGTAATTACCCTACCGTTAAACAAGAGCTCCTTGTTATTGTTACTGCGCTAAGACAGTTTAAAGACTACCTATGTGGAAGTTATTTCACTGTCGCCTGTGTCTTTAACATATTTAAAGGACACAAACCCTGATTCACAGTTGGTGAGCCGCTGGCATGACATTATTGCTAAGTTCGATTTTAACATTACACACATACCAGGAATACATAATCATCTTCCTGACATGCTCTCTCGACTTGTCCCTGACTACCAGCTAACAGTTATATGCTTAATAAGAAATGGTTTAACCTCGCTCAATCAAGATGGGGTCCATTTACTATTGATATGCTCGCCGCAGAACATAACAAACAGATTTCTGATTATAGGTCGTTGACTCATCCTAAGGTGATGCCTTTCAACTTGACTTATCAAAGCATAATGCGTGGGCTAAGCCACCTTGGCAACTTATCGCACAGTTGTTAATTATGTTAATATTGGCAATGCCGATTGAGACGGCATTAGATCGTAAAAGCATGGAACTAGCTAAGGCCATGGATCAAAGACTCAAAGCTCTAAGCGAACCTGAAGCTCGCGCTCAACTACTCAAAGCGCTGCTTAAAGAATAGCCAAGAGTTACGAAACAACTGAAGAAGATACTTCACCAATTTAATGTTGTTAATTACGTATCTCAGAAGTTTACCCCTCCTGATACTGAAGTTGCCCTATCTAACGGGACTATGGTTCATCCAGCCAGCGTTACACAAAATCTAACTGACTTAGAAGAGCTCGAGAGTAGAGTTAAACTAATACAGAATTTGACTCATCGAGCATATGTGCATACTTATAAGATGGCTATTCGTGCAGGGCTTGATCACCTGGCGCTGAAAGAAACCATACGTGAAGTATACTGACAATCAGATCAAGCGCTACGATTGGGCACCCCTAAAAAGTGTTACAGACGACCAACTGATGCGCCGAGTCATAGTCGATTTGGTTAAACTCCCGCGATCCAAGTATACTGGTGATGTATATATCTGTCATTTCTTATGTGTGGCTTCGGGCTATAACTTACTTTATGCAATACCAAACAAACGCCCGCAAACAGTGACAGAGTTATACTATCACGTCTTTAATGACTTCGGTTTCCTCCGAGTGGTATGTTCTGATAACGGTAGTGAGTTTTTTTACCGACGTAATGGAGGCAATGATACTCGTATCAGGAAACGCAGGATGCAAAGGATACACGTCATAAAGAACTAAAGAAGCTATTGCGTACCACACTAGCTGACGTTGAGGATATATGGCCTTATCATTCGAAATGGGTTCAGAATGAATATCTGCATGAATCTTCAAACTGGAACACTCTCGTTTCACTATTTCTTTGGCCGCTATAGTGAATTACAAACAACGTATGACAAAACTGCGCCCCAGGAACACGTTACTCCGTGGCTACAAAAGATCGAGCATATGCAGAACGTTGTTTACCCCTGTTTACTCGAGCACAAAAATAGTGTCCTACTTAAAGCGTATGACCGATGGAATAACACTAAGAACATTATTCAGTTCAAAGTTAGTGATTATGACAATATTATAAATCGCAATGTTAACATTACCGAACTCTCTTCTAAGACAATTGGACCTTTTGTTATTTCCTACCACGATGAGAAGAGTGATGCTTACGAAGTGAATATTATAAATGGTACTAGCGTAATTAATCTAGGCACTCACCGTATCCTTACCTCCGAACTCTCATGCGCTCGCTCATTTGGTTCTGATATCCCAGTTATGGATTCACAAGTCAAAGATATAATTGACAAAACATCCGAAGACGGTTACACTTACAACAAGACCCGTTTTATGGATGAGGCAGTAGCTTGGCTAACCTCCGATGCGTTCCGTGAATCTCGCGACTTCCTTCGTATTTTTAATAAGAAATGGAATAAGCGTTTATATAAGAACACACGAGATAAACGAAAAGGGTTTCCTCAGGTGACTACAAACCCGGATGGATATGAAATTTCCTATTTGCCACCTACTTCCTATGTGACTATACATTGTATCATACATACTTACCATTTTTGAAATAAATAATATTATCCCTATGTGACTAAAACTTCTGATCTGCTTACCAACAGAGCAGAATATTCTTCGAGCTTATTTACTAATGAAGAACAACCTTTGGCTTTTACCTTACCGAGTAATAAACGTAAGGCGCCTACATCGGAAATGGTTACTGGACCAAAATACTAAACGACATAGAGTACAACATGAGGCTTGAACTCGTACATGTAGGCACATACTTACTCGTTAAGCCATGGCCGAAACCGTTTTACTTTGGTTTTTGCTTTACGAACTAGATCGTATATTTACGTACGTCCGTAGTCCTAAAAGGTCAGTCTAAAATATCAAGATCAAATGAGATAACACATTGGGTTTTATTTGTATCTAAAATAATTTAATACAGGATCTTTTTCCAATATTTCCAAAGTATTCTAAATTCACTTTGATGGCTCCAATAGCCCAAATATTTGGTATGACTCATTTACTTGGACCTATTTGAGACGATAGTAGATGTAGGATATTATAATCCAAATTTTATAATCTCTGAACTACTGCTTACAGGTTTTGGTCTTCCCGCCAATATCCAAAATCCAATAAGCTGTTTCTTTTTTATAACTTTTCTTCAGATGGAACTTTATTTATATTAGCTAATGTATCAACTTGACTTACGTTCTTATGTCTATTATGTCTATCTACAAATTAGACGCGTTGTCATGAACACTTAGTACTTCTAGTGAATATTATTCAATAAAGAACAGCTAGAGGTACGTCCTGTGTGATCGAGGATATTAAGGCTCTTACCAAGAGGCAGTCCCGATCATTCTTACACAAGCTACCACTGCTATATTCTAACTGACTTAAATTGTATCTTAGTCTATATAACATAGTTATAACATAGTTTAAAACATAGAAATATCCATAGAAGTTTACAGAATGCTGCATCTGTGTGTTTTTCATTCTAAATTAATTTCTGGGTATGCTCATTGGAGGCCGGATTTTTTTTCAAGTGTGATTTAACAGAATTCACGGTCTGAAAATCCAGGCTTGCGGGTCATGGCCATAGACCGCAATGGCCATACTTCATTTAAACTTGGCTACAATCAATTCGGGCTCTAGTGTTTGCTATTCATAAAATGTACGCGCGTGTACGTTGCATCTATACACATGTTGCTTGGGCCCTGTTGCAATTAACTAAGTGTTTGATCGTGCTCACTAATGCCTCGTTTCTGATATTAAGCAGGTGCAAATACATCAAAATTCTATAGCTTGGTCTGGCATTGATGTACTTTTTTTTTTTGCAAAATCAGCGACAAGTTTCCGGCTTGCATTTTCAATTAGGCTATAGCTACTTCGATGAAGTCATATACTCTTTGTCTATCCCGTACTCATCACCTCCTGTCGTTTGATTTAATGTAGTCACACGTGGAACAGGGGAGTCGGTACATCAGAGGGCCAATGCACGGCAGGTGGATGGCATCCATCAAAGCACTTCCTCGCGTACACGGCGTATTCGAGGACCCCGAAGGACGATGAGTAAGTTGACTTTATATATATTCATTCGCACGCACTCTTTCAAGTTACAGGCTGACTGTTTTTTATAGCTTGAACGTGTCGTAGATCGAATACATTGCATAGTAAGCGGCCCTGACATACCAAAAAGCACACAGAGAGCGTGATGGATCTCACTGCTGGAGTTTTCGGGTTGTGCTCATGAGTTCCTGATGTTGCCTACAATATTTCTTCTCAAGTGCTTGATCTTGGCTGCCTTAAATTATGTACAAGCTCAATCATGACCGTCACCATCTTAATTTCATGATGAGCGTCTATTTTTCCTATTCCGCACTTTTTGAGATACTGTTTACTTTATTGATGAATTAGTCACTGTCTTTGTACTAATTTATGCACCAATCTCTGTTGTTTCAGTCGTCGAACTAACCCTTCGCCCGAGGTGAGTGTATTCGGATATAAAGATACCGGAAGGAAAAGCAAGGATTGACAGCATAAACACGACAAATATTAGGGTGGAGCAAATTATAATCACCGGTTAAATAATAAATGTATGCATAAAAATACTAGTTCCACGTGTGGCAACTATTTTTCTTCGTAATATGACCAGTAAGATCGATCTCGCATGAGCGTGATATGATAACACGTTGAAGTGTTTGATCTCATGTTGTATGTAACGGCCCGATTAGTGTTCCAGAATTAGAACGCCGCGCCTGACATTTTTTGGGCGATTGCATTCCATTGCGATATCGGCATGTAATATATTGTTTGCTTTGACAGCAGGAGTTGTATTTGCCATGAAAGCCCAATACAGCAGCAGGCGTTAAACTTTCGTTGTAAATCCGAAATGAGACTGGTCGCGTGTCATCCGTGAGCATATTCTCACTAGTTTTGTAGATATGATTGTTTTTTTTAACTTGTAACTCATCTAATAGAATCAGTAAACTGAAAGCATCGCTATGTCCACCGCATTGGCATAATACATTCCTAATGAAATAACATTATCTTCCGGCTGTTGTTTTAACATCCCTTGTCCCATCTCGCCAATCCTTCTAGGTACGATATAAGAATGCACTGCATAACTCCATATCAGTGTTCAGTGCTCTTCTGAGATCTGTGGGAGCATATACTCAGACGACCACTCCTGACACTGCCTCTCCTCTCCTATGCCAATTAGAGGTTCACACGCTTAGCCAGCTGCCTCATTGCATTTACATGTGGTACAGAAACACTGTCTGCGCTACAAGGTTCCCATTTCTCTAAAGGTGGTACAAGTACCGCAGCCAATCCTGAATCCTCTGAACCGGATCGGGACGGAGAAACATCACAATACAACGCCATACGGCAATTCAAGCACAGACGAGAGTGAGCAAATCAAGCTTCGCCGATCTCCGATTACCATGTTCAATGCCGTGCGTGCACATTTACTACTTGCGATTTTATGACCAGCCACTGAACTGAGACGTGTTGTTCCCAGAGTGCCATGCTCCCCGTTCTCCTCTGTGATAATTGCACAGGCACACTCTAATCACTATAATTGAAATTAAACAGTTACCTTCGCAGTATGGATTGTATGATAGAATGCCATCTCGATCGAAGTAGACTAATATCGAATCACCCACATGACCGTTCCGCTTGATGACTGAATGAGAGCACAGTGGAGAAAGATCGGTGAGGCTTCCTCATGGCTCCACTTCTCACACTGCATATGTCAGTCACCTTCTCCCGCTCAGGCGATCACCGATACACCACAAATGAACTGCCATGACCTTGCTTCAAGTCCAACTTAGTCGGACCATTCCACACCTTATTGACCACGTCTCAATCGCTACTCCATCATTTTCTAACACGCGTGCCTGCGAATATCATATCCTTGTGCTTGTTGCAGGTAACCCCTGGGTTGCGTACAACCATCTGATTCCTAACACTCGCTTTCAGTCGTCTTTCCTACTCTCCTGAATACTAGCGTCACTAGGTGCTGGGTCATTTGACAAATTTCTAGTATCATTTTCGCCACTGACACCGTCTTTGGGTACGTTCCGCTGTCTAAGTCCCCCATCCGATACAGAAGCTGCAGCGTTTGCGTCTGCATTTGAATGCGAGCTGGATGATCCATTTGTCGTTGAAGTGTTTGGTATCTCTTGTATCGTATCCACACCTCCGGCGGAGTTCTGCTGCCCAGTCGGCCTTCCCCAGTCAAAACCCCCTGTGTTAAAGTCGGCAATGTATAGTCGATGATTAATTTCCGCTGAAGGCTCGTTTCAGAGAATAAAAGATCACTCATCCATTCCCGATTAGAATGCTTGCGCACATCAGTCCAATGGGCGATCACACAAATCTTGTGCACAGTCATAATTGCACAGCAATCAATAATATATGCACGTATTTGTATGTGAGTGATCGCAAATATCCGCACGGTGTCTACACTATTTACGCACGAGATAGAGCATGACTGTGCAGAAGAGATATTCTTCACCTTACTTATTTATATACAATCGTTTGAAGCTATGCGAGTTCGAACAACCACTTCGATATCATTTCGAACATACCCGGTCGAGGAGCATCGGGAATCAATTGATCCTCCGGAATGATCACCATGGGTTGATCCTCGAAAATCATTTTGCTGTGACATACATAGGACATAGAATACAAATTAGATTTGAGCTCTGGGGAGCGATTGAATGCGTTGCAATAGTAGATGTTCTTGAAGTATCAACTCCGACCATCTCACACTTGATAAGCGTCAATATTCAGGGAACTAATATGGCGTTGAAGTGTATCTTGGCTCTTAAAAAGATCAAATGTGTGCAGACAACATATAAGGGAGAAATAGTATATGCACACTGGTTCAGTAGATGCGGAATGTTTGAAGTTGATGTTACGGGTTTATGACAACAGTATCTGAGATTGAATTAACTGTATGTCCACCAGCACACCAATTTCGACGCACAAAAATGCGCGAATATATAAGCGATTGTAGAATACCAAGGGTAGGCTTGTACACATGGTAATGCAAAGTCAGCACAAGTGAGCGCAGTTACATACATCACTTGTGGAGTTTTCAATAGACGCCTCCCACTTAGAGCTGGGTAGAAATCTTCTAGGTAGTAGTAAACGTGTCCAACGCCCATCCCCATGAGATCGATGACAGGAGAGTGCCCCAGCATCAGACTAAAGCCAAGAAGCACCCAGGGCAAGTACGGTGCCGTGAATGTGAAGATGCCTGAATTACCCAGACCAGAGAAGAACTAATTGTGTTGAATACATTGAAGCGGAGAAATGTCATACTGCGTAAAAAAGCACAACCTACTTTATAATGAATGTGTGGGCGCGGACAGGGTATTATGCTGTGAATTCTCTGATAGTGCACGCCGAGGGGACATTCCGAATATCAATCACAGTCAGGAAAAACCATCCTCATATTTAAAGGCTGAATGATTCCAACACGCTACAGATAATAGGTATGACAATATTAGTCTACCCAGCCACAACAGCTTCTACGGCTGAAGCTCAAAGTAGGAATCGCTGAGGCGTCAATAGTTTTAAGTATCATCGAAGCATCACTTGGTACCATTACACACAGCCAATACCGTTGCGCACACGGGCGATGCGAATTCATTGTGTTCACGATCCTATTTCGAGCGGAAAATTGTGGGGGTAATATTGTAGCCACACAAGCAGGAACACAATTCTAAAGACAAGAGTGAGCCTATAAATGCAGATGGTAAGGATATGTATGAGGGTTTTATTGTCCACGCACACATACCTAGAAAGGACATTCGCGCGTGCAGATTGCGTCTCCCCCAGACATAGACGAGCATGAAGGTCAGCGCGTAGCCCAGGAAGAACACGTTAGTCAGCGGGGCGATCAACTATATAGTGTCAGGCGAGACTAAAGTTTCAGACTGCCAGTGAGCGTAAAGAAAATGCTCCAAAAAAACACATGCTATCCTTACTGAACTCCGCAAAGGGAAACACTGGCGTACGGTGCAGTAGATGAGAATTATCCGTACGAGTAGCCAGATTTGTGCCAGGCCAGGAACTTTTTGAACTCTTTACTTAAACAACATTTTTAAGCGACGTTTACAGGAGAATTCAACAGTATTGAAAAATCGTATAGGGAAAAGTGTCACTCTGCCCACGCTTGAGAATCAAATCCAGAACAACGAAGGTATTGGCAAGTACAGCTTCGGATATAGCGTCAAATAGAGCAATAGGTGTAGCCACATTTGCGATGACTTGATCAACGCGTAGAATACGCTGAATAGGATCAGTAGTCTATGCACACCGCACGAAGTTTCTTCCATGAAATGAATAGATTATGCCTAGCACATACTGAAATCTCCGTGTGACAGCATACAGAACATGAAAGTCACGCTAAAGCATGATACTCGGCTCCATGTGATAGCTTACAATAATCTGGAAAGCCCCAAAAAGCAACATGAAGAAGAAATCTGCCGGTCTGCCCCTGAACGAGCCCTCCTCAAGTAAGCGACAATACCGTACCCTACAAGGAACAAAACATTGTCAACGATGTACCAGGTCGACACGAAAAAGCCGAAGTATTACTCATTCCAAACATAAAATCAAAGTTGTGAGCAGGTGTCAAACACATTTTTTTATACAACTCTTGAACCACAAGATAAGTTACATATGCGCCAAGAGCACTGCACTGGCTGACAAGCTGAAAACAACAAAGCAACAAAAAGTGACAAAAACCATTCTGCAGTGCAGATAAGTCAATACGGGCGAAACGACAACAATCGAGAGAATTTCGAGGGCGGGTGTGATATAAAAGTACTTACAGAAAAAACATATGGAAGAGGAAGTCAAGACCTAAATTCCCGAAATACAGGAATGTGGTGATCAATCGCCATACTTGTCCGTTGAGGATCAAATTCAAGTTGAAGTATAGATTGAACGGGTTGACGAATTGTAATTGCTATTGTAGAAATACGTAAAATATAGTTAGTGTGCCAGGCTCTTGTAAAAATTATGAAAATACCGTGTTGCTTTCGGGACGACAAAGCGGAACGATTTTCATCAATATAATATGAATAGACTGTAAGTATACAACCGCATACCACCGCGTGAAATATGATTGAAAGCGTTTAGTGAGTTTCAGATCCGCTAATATTGTACAAGTGGCAACCTTTAGTTTAGTCTGAGCGTTAGGCTGTGCGACTGACAGAATAGCAAGACCTACAACCAAATTTCAAATATATATTGAGACTTCAAATAGTGTTGTACCGCAATTTCCATTACAGATTTAACAGATAGAAATTAAGAGATAACTTTCATTTGCGTTGCATTCGTATATACATATGTAATATACGTTTGATTAAATATGTCAACAATTACGGGCGCACATGAGCATAAATGCATTTTAGCTACGAAATAATTTATGGATATATATAGATGAATATTCTACACACACACACACACACACACACACACATATATAGATATATATATAGATATATAGATACAGATATATAGATATATAGATATATATATACATGTGTGTGTGTGTTTGAGTATATATATATATATATATATATGAATATATATATATATACAATATAAATACATACACAAACACACTCACACACTCACACTCACACATTTAAA